TTAATTCAATATATGGAAGACCATCCACAGCCTCTGAGATACAGAGTCCACAAACTTAACCGTTATTTGCGCTATGGGAACATCAGGTTGCTGCTACTACTATTGTCTAAACGGACCGAAAGACTTCAAATAACAACTTAGTCAGCATACATCAATTAAAAGTGTTATTAATTCTCCAACTAATCACAATTATAAAACAAATCTTTAGAAGTAATAGAAGAAACGCTGCAAAAGAAGTACGATAAGTTTTTATTAAATTATTTGTACAAATAGCGCACCCCCCCCCCCCAGTGGCACAGGGGTATGTCTGCCGACTTACAACGCTAGAAATCGGGTTTCGATACCCGTGGTGGGCAGAGCACCGATAGCCATTGTGCATAATTATAAACAAACAACTAGCGCGGCTATTCGAGATCAAGCCTTTAACAATTACTTATATATAATAATGGAGTGGCTAAATGTCCTAAAATTTAATTACAAGGTCAGAACCTTTAAATTAAAGGGATTTGAATTTAGCTTCTTACATAAATTTATTACGATAGAAGTATGTAACAATTACTTCCCCTCAGTAGTCAGAAGTTCATTTGATTGTCGTCAACCAATGGTAAGTACACACTATTTTTTTTCGCACATATATTTTTCAAATGTAAAAACACCGATTAATCTATAAGGAATACAAAATTTCTAAAAGAATATTTTCAGAAATACGGCCGACTCCCGTCTTTGCGTACTGCTATATACTAATGTAGAGCAAATGAATGTGAAATGCTGGTTCAGGAGCTACACACTCACACGTCTACTTTCACATCTACTTTGTGATCAAGCATCGCCGCTTTTGGTTGAAAAATATTAGTTCAGGACGTACTAGTAATGACGTATCAGGATGTTGGCCAATGTGATGGAAACTTGGGGAATCGGCGAAAATATATCAATGATCATGCACCCGAGCGTTAAACAAACCCAAACAAACACAGCTGTTAATTGCAGTAATTACCAAACTTAAACAAAACTGGATCTTCTAACAATAGCAATTATCAATACCACTTTCATCTTGATCACTTTAAAAACTGCTGAAAGACTTATTAGCTTTGGGTAGGAAAGTTGGTTGTAAGTATATAGAATTCGTGCATATTGTTTAATGTGGGGAAAGATAAAGATAGGATAACGTAATCAGTAGATGTGTTATTCTGAACCTTTTCGGGTTTTCTTGATAATGGTTGTGTTTTATCTCTCAGACACACATTATATAAAGCTCAAAATTATATTGAAGACGGCGCGTAAACAACAAAACAAAAACCGTATTTTACATAATTATAGTTGTCATAACTGCTTAAATAACCAGTTTATGACATTACAAGCGACATGATCCCATAAGGAAATAAACAAGTTATGTCTCAGTAAAGGAATAAAATAGTTCTATTGATTCAACTGACTAGTTCTAAAAGTGTTAAATTTTAGGACACTGTCACTTTACTCTATGTTTAACATTCATGCAGAAATTAAATCCCACGAGAACAAACCTCCCAAGTGGCCAGACATTGCTTTTATTCTGAGTAAGTTTGTTATAACACACGATTTGCTGAAATATGGACTATTTCAACGTTTCACTAATGTTTTGTATTGAAACGTGTTACATAACGCTGTTCAGACATTAATACACAACATAAATACACACACACACAAAGTAAGATCCATTTTATATGCAATGAAGACACTTTTAAACTCGATACACAAATTCTAAAATTAACAAATAATTTTTTCATTTCCTTAGTGTGTATTGAAGCATAGAATATATCTTAATTCTAGAAATAAACGACATTATAACTCCAAATTTATTTTTTCATTTAACTGAACCTCCAACGTTTTGCTTTACAGCTTCTTCACATTTGTGTTTTAGTGGAACGCTCCTGAAGATGTAAAGCAAAACGTTGAGTAGTCAATTAAATATACAAAACCAGCAACTACTTTACATCTAAGCATTTTGGAAGGCTTAAAATTAACAGACTCACAGTGTATTTTCCAAGAACGTCACAGGTCTACTACTCTATATCACAAGAATCAACGCTGTTTAGTTAATAAACAAATGTGAGAAATGTATTCATTAAAAATGATAATTTAACGCCAAGACAACAGTTTGTATTGTGTAAGTGGTATCTTAATTACATTCCAAACTTTGAAACACAGGTTTTATCGCAGCAAAGAACTAAATTTCTAAACACTTAGAACTAACACTTTTTCTTAAAAACTAACTTTTCCGTATCAAAAAAGTCTGTAAAACCAAAACAAGATAATCAAGTCAAGATTCAGAATATCATGTTTCGATAAGCTGTTTAGTTGTTGTTGCATAGGATAGAAAAAGAGAAAAGCGTCGCCAACCGGTCTCTTTGTCTAATTCACAAACTTTTGAAAATGTACAGAAGTACAGAAATGACCATAATAACATATACATCTTCAAACTATAAGGCAGTGTGAACTAACATACCTTGGAAGTATCGTGTGGGTTTAAAAATTACTTTCTTTAGCAACCCTTTCAGTAATATTTTCAATTTTATTAATTTTTTAATCCTGGAGATTGGGGGTATGTTACTAAACGTTAATTATTTTTGATACGCATATTATAGCTGCAGTACGAAAGGTAGAGTTACATGCTTAATTTCATGAGTTATATGTGACAGGCTCTTTTTTAAAGCACGTCTTAAAAATACTGACTTCATGTACCATAAGTTCAAATAAGTCGCTACTACAGCAGCGAGTATGGCTAAACTTATAAAAAATGGGTAAACACATACCATATAAAGTACTTTACAATAAAGTTAAAATCCACAATATTGGTACTGTTCCATTAGCGTGGATTTAAACTTTATTATAAATGCTACACTTCTCTTGATAATTTCAGCTATATACTGCAACAAACGACCCTTAAAAACTAAGCAAATGCAAATTCAATCTAAAATGATCAACTCTGTGCGCTTGTGTGCACTGTAGCTGGTTTAAAATGAAGACTAAAAGGCGAGAAACTACATGATAGCATTTTAATTTATTATCGGGTGTGTTTTTTTCGCCTAGTTGGCGGAAATGCTTTAGTTTGCGATGCGATCTTTAAACTCTACACGTCACACTATTGCGTGATCGAACACCAATACACAAGCCCATATGACTGATCTCTAACATTATGCAACTTTCTGTAGATGTATAGGAAAGGTGTAGCTATCAGTTTTCGGAATCAATAACCTCCAATATTTTCTATAAAATACATGACTAATTAACTACACAACTTCGTATATTATCACATGGTGGTGAGTCGCGCCATCTGGCGGGGTTACCAAATCCATGACTTTCCCTGGCACTTCAAATGAAATTCGTTACACCACACTTCCTCATATTAATGTTCAAAATCCTATTTTTCAAATTGTAAAACAGTATATATGTGAGTGAATTATTTAGCTCTTAAATTGTCATTTAATATTAATTATACACAGGGTACTGAAAAATCAAAATTCGTAATATCATATAACTGATGATCATACAGTGGCTATCACATTGTTAGTTTAACTTAAATGCGGGGTCACCTCGACACAAGAAAACAATGGATCATGTTGATCATAACAAGTAATAAACGTAATAAGCCATTAAGAACACGAAACACTGGAAAGCGGGACTTAAAAAGAGTCCGAATTAAACTCTGATATGAAAACCTAGAGAAAAGTAAGCACTTAACACCTTGTCATTGTAATGAAATTATAAAAATAGTCACCCCTAACAAGGTTGAAGGTAAATTTTTCTTTTATATATATATTTAAACACCACATTGATATGAAACACTGTTTACATTCCTCAACACAAATTATGACACTTTATATACGATTTGCTTTACTACGTATGTTACAGATCCCGACAAAGAGTACACGTTTTTGGACGTTCTATCTTTATGGCCTAGTTTCATACGTTTACAACGAAGTACGCAAGAAATATATTCTAATTCGCCTACTTGTCTTTGGTAGGATTACAGTACTGCAAAAAATCATAAGAGTAATTACAGATTGTAAAAACTGATAATTTAAATGTTCTTTTTACAAAATTAAGCTGACTACACATGACTTTAATACTAAAATCACGTTAAAAGTACTGATTACAATTTAACCCAAGAAGTTTAGTAATGTATATATATATATATATAATTCAAGCTTTTCAAAATGTGTATTTTTTAATTGTTTTAGTTCTAAATTAACATCATACAATTTAACCTATTATCCAGTATACATAACTTACAACAACATTATAATTTTTAACATCACAATTACACATGGATCGTACAGTAAAAATAAAATTTTGTATAAACATAAATTGTTTAAAAATAGTCTTTAGCTAAATACCAAAAACATTTATGGATATTTATCTATTATATAATCTATACTTAACACTTTTAAAACAAATATAAAAGGGTTCTTTGAGAACGGTATATAAAATTACATAAGCACTGAGGGAAAGAACAATTGCTACCATAAATATCACTAGACAAAAAAATACAATTTGATTCTTATATACTTTGAACTGCATTTATTGATATTATTTTCAATTTCTACAATAAAACAATTTAATCTACTTCAAATGTATAAACTACCAGTTTCACCCTAATAAACTACAATAAAGTATACAGAAAATATGTAACAAATTGTTCGTGTCGTTCTCGATTTAAAATTTATAAGCATTATTATGTATCATCAATGAAGAGTAAGGATTTTAAGTATGAAAAAGAACTAACATACTACACACACATATACATATATATATACACACAACATATAGCTATCTTACTCTCACTCTGTAATCCTCTAGTTTCCAACAAAAGATATACTGATTTTTTCAACCATAATTTTTGCTGCTACACGGTATTTTGAAAAACGAAATAAGTGATAACTGGTCTTATTTTTTAAACTTAATATGAAAAAGAAATATTTCAATGAGACGATTAATCTTTAATAAGGAAATGTATATATTACCATGGTGAAACATTCCAGATCCAGAAGCCAAATTCGAAGTAACAGTCGGACTGAATGGGCCCTGAAAACAACAACCACAACCAAAGTGAGAAACGGGGACTTAGTTTCTGAAGCAATGGACGCCTGTCTGTTGTATGTGTGTAACGATGGGATTTGGGGCTCAAAACTGCAGAACAGACGCGGCGCCTCAAACAAAGACCGACAAGACACGTTATTTGGTCTAGTAATGAATTATTACTAAAAAATCATTGTAGTTTTGAAGTTATGTAAAACCAAAATACACATAAGCAAAAATCTGAGTTTTGAAACACATTAATCATTGTATTTTTGTTAAGGAAGTAAAACAAGCAGTAACATAAAACAAGATGTTTAAGCGAGATCAGCCAACCAGGCTATCTTATATGTAACTTGTATAAGATAAAAGCCTGATCTATGCCACCTCAAACCGGCTACCATATCTTACAGCTGAGTTGAAAAATGCATTGCTATATGTTGATGGATATTAAAATAAACTCTTATTTCTTACCTGATCCGCCATTGGAAAATCGACCCCGAAAGAACTCATTTCTTTTTATGAACCTAAATGCTACTTAGCATAGGATATACACTCTATCTTAAAGTCCAACTATGGCGACTCGAAAGCTTGCGTTACAGACTAAGTCCACAAATAAGCATTCTGCGCAAGCGCTAAATGAAGCTGATAACTTTCCTGAAATCTCTTCTTCGTAAAGAACCGCTAGGTGGCACAATACGAGCTTTCAAATATGTGCATACGAACTTACAAATATGGAAGTTCTAATTATTATTATTATTTGTAAATATTACTTCTTTTAGCTATTGCTTGTGTGTTTCTACAATTTTTTATTGTGCTATAATGTTACTGTATGTTATAATCTTGTCATACCTGTCACTAAATACAGTACTACGTATGCGTTAACTTAAATAATTAAATGTACAAGCAACACGTGTACATGCCTAATCAATCAAGCAATTTATAATACCTTGTTGATTCAACTTAAAAAAACGAGCTGAATTTTATTAAGAATGATCTACTTTCATAACCAAAATGGTGGAAATAAATGTTTCCGATATATCTGTATTTACTAGTATAATACTAAGTTATATTTTTTGTGAAATACAAATGATATAGTATTTGTTTTGTTTTTTTAAATAAAACACTACGCCGAGATTATGCAATCAAAACTAGAGCATGAAATGTGGTTTGTGCTTGGCCTGTTCACTGTTGTTCTCATCCTAATATATTCTGTAAAACTAAACGGTTAACCACTAAATTAGACTGAAAAATGTCAGTAGATTTCAATTCTAATAAATGCATTGAAGGCAAACAAAAATCTCTAGAGAAGAAATCAATAGTCTGCTTATTATTATTACTTTTTAAAAATTAAGTTGTATTAGTTTTCTTCAAAATTTAATAGATTAGTGTTTGTTACGTGAAACAGTACTTATTACAATTCCATTGAGTTTTAAGAGGTATTTCAATATCATACATAAACCGTGAATGTTTTTTTTATTTCTCACTATGTATTTGAATAGTTTCTATATGATTTCTATGTTTTGAACTTTAGAAACTCTAATGGGATAGTTTAATGTTATATTTAATAAATATTTATCAACTTTATAATAATCAGATATAAAATTATCCATTAACCAGTTAAAAAGAATTTTTATTCACAATTATGTATGTTTCATAGACATTTTTGATTAATAAATAGCACATTTTCAAGCTAACAGTAAACCCTAATTGTACAGAAACTTGAAAGTCAAAACTCATGAAGAAAAGATAATAAAATGATAATAATTTGTAAATAAGCTCTTCACCACTTAATATAGATGGTTAAACCAACAAAAATTGGACCAGTGATCAGTTTAATAAGAAACAAGGAATGCTAAGTCTACTCAACTGACCAGCAACAGCTAGCTTGACCAAAAAGAGTCGATCAGCAACCGCTGAGGGCCATTAAACTCATCATTAATTTCATGTACAAGTTACTTCACCTGGAGAAAAATAGCAACTACTGCCACTGTTTCCTTTATTACCCATTGTTTACCCTTTGCTTATTTCAAACAATAAATATGTTACTTTTTCAATTTTTCTTTCAGATAAAAAAAAATTAATAAACTAAAAATTCAAGTTTATATATATTGCACTGTAGGTTATAAGTTTATTAACAATCTGTGTTGGAGTAAAATTTTTAAACACAAATTCTTCAATAATATTATAAGTTATGAATAAATCAATGAACAACAATAACAAAAATGAAGTCATGAAAAATTGTGACCCATTTTCACATTGCCATTTTGATTGATAAACTAAAGCTTCAGTTTCTTAGTACATTGTGTGAATATAAAATTACAGTGATAAGTAATTTAAAGTATTGCACTTTTTCACTTAAATTTTATCAGACAAGTTTGAATATGTTAATTAGTAAGGTGTAATAATACATGACTGTTATTTAACTTATATATATATAAAACACGCTAAGTGTATGTATTTGCAGTGTAAAATGTGCAGAAATCTTGAAAGACATGGAAGATTGTTAATGTGATTAAGATATCCATATAAAAAAATGTAGCTCAAAGACAAGATTTTAATAAAGTAAATAATATACCAGAAAACAAAGCAATCAAGGATACACAGTTACATAAATTATAGTTTCTTTACATCTGAATATTTGACACTAACGTATTTAATGGTTATTTTTAATTCTTTGAATAAAAACTATTGAATAATCTATTGTTCAAAAGGAAGCTTATAATATTTTACATATATGTAGTAGTACAGTGCATACTATATAGTTTTGTTTACTGAATTTAAATATTTTTGGAATTTTTTTTTTATTTCTTAAAGTTTTCCCCTGGATATCTAATGTTTAGTGAAAAAATACTGCAATTTTTTGGAAATCAACTGTCTACAGTTTTCAAGATGATTTCTTTGCTACAAAATATATTAGGAAATATCTTAATTACAAGTTAAGTTGGTTTAATTTATTTCCTTGATTAATCTTCAAATGATGAACTGCAATCTGTAACTTACTTTTGTTTTTCATTTATTTTTCAAAGATAGAGGGAGTATGACAAGATTACCTGGGTGTTAAATTTTGCTGGTGGAATTTCAAGTTGAAGATTTGTACAAGCTCATGGTGGTATTCCATAAAAGTATGTTTAATGTTTTGGAAAGGTAAAGGATTAGATATTCCATAAAACTAGTTTTTATTTAGCATAGTTTTTGAAGTTCACAACACAATGTGAGCTTTACAGTGTGTATTGTAATTGATACTTATGAGCATAGCTGGAATTTCCACCCACCTATACATTTAAGGTTTCATCTTGTAGTACATCTAAAACTTTAAATATATTTACCCCAAGCTTTTAAAACTAGGTATGTGGTTCAATATTTGAAGGTTGTGCAGATGCTAACCAATTTCATAACTGATGCTTAACAAACTTTCAGTGTTACATAAGATTCCTCATTTATATGTAGTTAAAAAACTTAGTGACAAAGTAAATCTTTTGTTTGACTCCCCAAGAACAGTTTTTCAGTTCATGCTCAAAACTGAGTTTTAACACCTTCAGTAGACCAGCACAGATAGCCATTTGTGTAGCTTCATGCTTAACAATAAACAAACGTTCTTACTTCAAGTCATTTGGACTCTTAATGGAACATTTTTCACCTGCCATTTTTTGCTCAATAATGCCAAGTACTTTCTTACCATACTTCACTATGCCATAAAAACAGAGTAATGTGTTTTTTGTTCACCAAATAATTGACTGTATACAGTACACCAGAACCAAAATTATGTGGGCTAATGATACTTATGATGATGTAATAAATAAAGTAAATAATATCAGATTGTGTGTCACAGCTGGAGCTGCTACTAATTTTACTCTTCTATAATTACTTTAGAATTTATGTTTTTCAGGTATATTCACATAATTTTTCTAAATTTTCATGCAGTTTTTGCATGTAGTCAATCATACCAATATTGGCTGAATGATGTAAGGTTGTAAACATGTGCTAATCCCCTTTTATACATTAAAGGTTACATAACACAGTATTTGTTCGTAAGTCTCAAGCTAGTATACTTACATTTCTGTATGGACTTCTAGGAAGGTTATCTAATCAGACAGGTAACTTAGCAACCTGTAAATCTGACTTGGGATGGCTTAAAACTGTATGCAAACCACTGGTTAAGTATGCGACCTAAGGACTTGTGGGACACCTTACTAAGACCAGAGTATAAAACTGGGATATTTACATAGTTCTGTTTCATTCCCTTGCTTGTCCTGAATCCCCAGCAGCCAGACAATCAAACAGAATAGAAGCCAACCAGCAATTTAGGATTATTAATGACATAAGTGTTATTAAACATTTTGTATTTTTCACTTGCTTTCTTTTGTTGTTCATGTTAAATGTATTATTTGTTGAACAATCCTTAACATGAATTTTTGTGAAAACTTCTGGATTTTCTGTCTGATATCAGTGTACCTGAAAACCACACTAGCATTATGTGGGGTGGGATAGGTCCACCTAGAAGGAGGTTCAACTAATTCTGAGTTCTCCAAATTTGAGAAAGAAAGAGACTGAACACAAATGTACAAAAACAATGAAACATTTTTTATTCAAACTCAAAAAAACAATCAAAATAATGTATGTGCTAAACATAAGATGGCACTTTTACTTCATATTTCTCTCTAAATAAATTATAAAGATGTTTAATAAACTTTACACAAAGTTAGAGGTTAAAGTTTAGGAGAGTATTACTGTTTACAAAGAAATGACTTAAACTTCACTGATATACCAAATTCTATAATACTGTTTTTAGGATATGTGCACCTCCTATATCACTGTTGGTTAATATCACTAAAACATGAGAGGTCATAACCTAGAGTTATCACCTGATATACCATTAGAGGATAGTGCTATCAACACTCTTGCATGACAGAATTACAGCCATACACCAATGGAAAGAACAAGTGTTATTTCCAGAGACTGTTAAAGGAACAAAGGCAACTAGAACCACATCAACTTAACTTTCTTGACCAAGCATTATGTGAAAACTGCATATACATAGAATAGCTGAATAACTTAGAAGAATACAATATTAAAATAAGATGGTACGAACTCATGGTGTGTTTATATACCAAAGTGGGCTACTGATTGATATAATGATGTACCAGAAAGAGCATTATGTGACCTAATAATATATAGAGTGATGTAATGAATAAAGTATGTAACATCAGAACCAGCACTATGCAAGATACTAATATTTCCCTATTTATGTTTTACTGACTTGCACATTGTCATTATCAACTTAAATGTCAAAGAAAGAAAGAAAAGATAAATGAACACCAAAATATATAAAATACATTAGGGAGAAGATGCAAATATTTATCTTTGAAGTGCTTGAGGTAGCACAGTTCTGTACAATGTAACTATAGAAGTCTGAAATTAAAATTAATTTAAAGGTTTTAAAGTTTGTATGTAAACTAATCATAATCAGAAGTTAAACTGGGGCAGAATGGTTCCTACTCTTGAGTTTTCAAGCCATTAGCATTTCTGATCTTCTGACTAAAATGTCAAAGTGGATCACAAAAGGAAGTTCCACTTATTTCAAAATCCTAATTTAACCACTGATTAC